CCACTAACTTCACCCCCCCCCCCCCCCCCCCCCTCCTTAGTGCTCTCGATCCTAACAGCATTGTCTCGAACTATTCTACCGTAATCTGTTGTACCATATTGCCTCATAGTGACATATCCACTGTGTTCTGATATTTGTGAAATGAACTCGGACTATAATTTCTTCATGTGTGGCCTCTCCCAACATATCGTATGGCCTCCACAACATCTAATTATGTTCACTCATTTGGCAATTGACTTTTGTCCACTCACTCTCGAAGTATACTCGGATGAAATATATCTCTAGGACAGTCTATTGCTTAACAACTCTCAAAGTCCGTCGACTTCATTGAAATTAATGCGTTGTTGTATAGATCCTGGGCCTTTACCCCCTAATGTAATCTCCGTTATGCATTGCTTTTTTTACGACAACTTGATTGATAACATTATAGCATATTCTTCAAGAGTACTCGCTTCTACATTCTCTTGCATCATGTCAAGACCTTCTGATTCCAACTTCGCCTCTACAAGTTGAGTCGCTTTAGTTCCTTTGTCAAATGTTTCATCAAGATAATGTGCATATGCCTCGAAGCTCCCTTTAATTTTAGCATCATACAGATTGAGTCTGCTCTATTAGAATGACATAATCCTACTCGTAACTTTGCAAGAGTTCATGTCCTTATTGTTGTCTAATGAAAGCTTCATGCCTCCACTCCATGTTCTATCTTCTATCTCAACTCTTTTCATGTGGCTTGGGCACTTCGGCAAGTTCTACCCAAGTTGTTCCACTCATCGATTTGCATTGAATTAATGGTGGCCCTCGTGCTCACCATTCCACTGGTTAGCCCTTAGTTTGATCTCCACATCGACTTTAATTGTGCCTTAGTTTGGTGTTATTTTGGGTTGCTCCTTAACTTAATCTCATAATGCATCCACCAATGTATTACCTCATGTGAGATCATGCAATGACTCATCGTTGCTCACTTGGTTTGTTAAGCTTTGTAGTGTTGTTATCTTAAGGTACCCCTCCTCAACATGTGCAATCCATTGCAAATGATTCTTCCTTTAGAGAACCAAGCTTATCCCTCTTAGATATCTGTCCCGTTGGGGTAATTTTTCTCTTTACATTCTTTCTTTCGAAAGTTTTGGAGACAATCATCCCCTTAAACTACTCCACCTTGTTGAACAAACTATATATTGTTTCACCCCATGAATATACTAGATTGCGACTCTTCGTCAATACTTACTATGCCCCTTAAGACCTAATAATATGTTGAACTTGGTGCATACTTTAGCTTCATATGGACATATCTTTCCGATGCCAAAGAGAAAGTTTCAATGCTCTATGTCATCGAGTTTCAATCGCATTGGGATGGTCACAGATAATCCATCGTTTGCATACAAGCCCTTGTATGAGCATTGAATTTTTTGAGTTAATAATTTCCCTCATTTTTGTGAGCTTTGCACAACTCTTACGTTCACTGAGCAACCAATTCTACCTTCTATGGTCTCATGGTTTGCCAAGCGCTTTGCTTGTCTTGAGCATTATCAAATTTAGTTGCTAACGTCGAGTCATAGTTTGAACTCAATCATCACAATCTTTGTGTACGACCCATTCTGTCCAGCTTGCTTGTCCTTGTTGTGCCTCTTATGCGAAAGGTTGACCATTTCTCTAAATGAAAAATCTTGAATACTCATTCTTTTAACTCCTTCCCATGCATCCTTATACTTGTTTTCCACAAACGGTCACATGTGTTGGCTACCCTTAATGTAGCCCTGCTAGGTCTCCCACGTTTGCATGCCAAGTGTTTCTAGGTGTATTTATCCCACTTTGATACTATTTATCATAGACTTAACTGATTTTGCCTAAGTCATACAGTACCTTTATGTGTTTCTTCGTAGAGGGTCAACCTCCCCGAAACATTTTATTGTCCCTTGAGGACTTGCAAAAGAGAAGACAAGTTAGATAAAGTATTTAACTCAAGATCCATAAGCAATCATTTCAGTAAACATTTGATTAAATAATATAAATTATAAACATAAACTTTACAAGCTGTAAACGGTTACATGACAAAACGTTTAAAGTGATCCACCATGATCAAAAGTCTTCGTAAGTATCCACATGACACTACTATAGAATAATGCAACAAACCAACCCTAAACACTATCCCAAAGGCTCATCCAACCATATGCTACTCGAGTAGCTCGTAAGTGTTATGTTGGATGAAACTCTGCACCAATCTACGAAGCTAAGAAATCTTCAAAATAACTATTAGATGACTTGTTTATGAAAAGTTTTACCTACGATTATAGGGTTGAACAAAATCGAAAGAAATAAGCATTACATCAAATATCATATTTATAATTTTATCCTACTAAATAAATATTGGGTTTACATATACCTATGAATATTTTCTTTTTATTCGTACGATAAACTTTCGTATAGCCTATGATCTCCTTCTTCTTTTTTAATCTTTTTATACATGATGGTGATAAATTATTCATATGTTTGTCCTCCTAATTTATTTTTTTCTCTATAAATATGTTTAGTGGTCTATGTTGATCTTTGCGAGTAGGTGTAGCTTGGGTGTAAGCATTCCTCGAACAAAACAGGATCTACGCTTTAACCTCATGCAGTCTACCATGAAAACATGGATACTAAGCAAAATCAGGACCTAGATTTTATCCTTGTGCAGTAGTCTACTTAGGAAACCGGGATAGAGAAACCATTAGAAAGGTGAACACGCTATTTTCTCTATATCATCTAGAAGGAAGCTTGTGGAAGAACAGTTCAGATGTTGAAAATATCATCCAGAAGCGCAGTTTATGCGTATCAAACAAAATTTGGATGACTTAATCAGTTCTAAATTCTATACACCTTTGAGTGTCTACTGTTAACATCCCATCATACAACAACAACATAGAATGATAGTGACCGAAGACAATGAAATGGTCCATGGCAAGTCTGATCCATGAAACAATTGCTCCTGCTCGGAGTCTGACTCATGTGGCAACACGAGGCATGGTTGCCGACGAGCGCAAACTGCTCTCTTCTTTAGAAATCTCTTCGGCCATCAAGATTTCCATCGACGATTGTTCATTGGAAGGGATGTTCTCCGGCACCCGCAATCTCAGATCCAGGCTACCGGAGGCTGTCTGTTCCACGGCTGGGAAATCCATGGCTGTTCTGCCGTCAAGTATGCTCACCACATTGGACATCATGGGTCTTCGAGTTGGCGATGGATTGGTGCATGCAAGAGCCAAGTTCAAAATCCGCAATGCCTCTTCCTTGGAGTACTCTGAACCTAGGACTGGGTCAACAAGCTCAAGCAGGTTTCCTTGCTCCTGGAGAACATAAGCCTGCAGCCCTCCCATGTAAAGATGTAACAAATAAGCTTACTGCATTCACATATGATACAGCAAAGGAAAATGCCTAAATAATACTAGATATATGAAAACAGCACATTAAGATAAGCTAAAGAGCGTATTTTGATGTGATGGCCAGAAATTATTTGATGAGCTTTCAGAAAGAAAGTTATGAGGATGAGCAATTTGGTTCACTCGGTCCGGCACAGGCCGAGCCAGAAAAATTATTGGGACATGTCATACCAGTACATCTCAATTACAAAGGTGAAGGAACATGACATTTTCTTCTGTGTTTCACCTTTGCATGATATAGACCCTCCAATGCATTATCAAACAAAAACAGCATAGTATCGACTGTATAAGTTGAATTTGATTTCTGATCGCATTCTGCAAAAATCTCTCTCTAAGAGATGTTTCAATCATCTCTAAAATTGTTGTTCGGCAATCAAATGCCGGTGATCGTGGGAATATTTGGATGGCATTTCAACTTGTATGTGACATTATAATTAAAACAGAGGCTTACAGGAGATGCTTATGGAAAAGAGGGATGTATGTGAGAAGAACTGGGTAAGACCAGAAAAAGGAAATCCACATATTTCAAATACTGTTTGATTTTCATGGTGCTAGTTGACTGACATGAATTATCTGCAGCAGGGACTCATGGCAGTTCAACAAAAGCGGTACAAGGAAATTGCACAGGTTCAATGCCCACAAAAATGAATGAAAAAAAATGGTGAAGCATATCTTCTTTTCGAATGTTTGGTATGTCAAACAAAAACACAAAAGAGAAAAAGGAGAAAATTTTGTGCCTAAATTTGGCCTAAATTCTTTTGTCCACATAAAGAGTAATTATGAAAATAATATACTGTGTGGCCATGTGAGAATATATTTTCTACCTCAACCAACCAACTAATAATCTTTCTTTTTTTTTCTTTTACATTAATTGTTTTCTACAATAGATTATTAATTTTTATTTCTTTTACATCCAAAGGAGCCAATCATGTTAGGAAGATGCTTATGGAAAAGAGAAATACATGTAGCTGAACAGTGAGATGATGAGAAAATCTCTGTGAGGCTAAAATACCCAATTATCTGACAAATATTTTCATTTTCGTGGTGCTAGTTTAACAATAAGAATGATTAGTCAAAATAAATTTTCTGGTAGTTTAAACAGGGGTATAAGGATCAACATGAAATTTCTTAGCATTAATTGGTTGAATGACATGAACCAAGGAAAAAGTACCTCCCAAGTAAGATCATTACCTGAGGGATGGTTCAGTGGTTAATTACTTGGCTACTGGATACGTCAACAAAAGTTCCTCAAGTAGTAGCTAAATTTACTTACCCAGTCAAGAAGAAACATGAGGTCTTTCTTTTGCCAATAATTTGTGTTGCAGATTCCACTGACAATTTCTAACAAGACCACACCAAAACTATACACATCTGCTTTGTCCGTCAAGTAACCCCTCAATGCATATTCAGGAGCCATGTATCCCCTGTATGAAGCCAATTGCCATACACTGCTTATCACAATAAACATGTACTGAAACTAGATAAAAAAAATTTTGCTGGTTGTGGGAGAGAATGATAGAATATGTAATCAACTGAATTTACTTGCAAAAACTTAAAAAATATAGCTTTCAAGTTGCATCAATATTTGATATCTTAAGAATATACATTGTCAGATATTGTAAATTGTCATTTAAGAGAAACAGAACTTTCAGAAGATGTTCAAAATATAAACCAACATGAGTATAACCCTTATCAAGTTTTTATACAATTTACTAACTATTTGGGTATGATATCTTATGAGAAACATTTCTCGGTAATTATCTTCTTGTGGGGAACAAATGATAACTCTAAAATATGTCTATGGAAAAAGATGAATTAGTAATAAGATAAGAATTGGAAGATCTTTTCTACTACATTTCTATTTAATATAATGCATTCCTTTACTTTGTAATACTTTCTGTCTTCAATGCTAGTATTGAGAGTTAGTACATGCATAATGTCCACATATCTTATCTTTTTCATGGTGGTCAGATTGTACTTTATCACATGGAAGGGTGTGTGACCGACTCATGCTCAAAATTATGCATCTGCATGCTTCCTCTTCTAAGAGAGAAAAAGGTGGAGATTAGTCAACAAAAAAGAAAACCACATGTGGAAAATAAATGTGTTCCATGGAGAAAGGAGGTCAAAATGGATCTCTTAGAAACGCAAAAATACCATCATCATGTATCCATCTCACTCGAACAAGCTATGCATGTAATAACTTTTTCCTCCCTGATAAAAAGATAGAAAGACAGCAAGAATGAACAACACCAAAAATCACTCAGAAAACATTGACAGCAACTACGTCCGGGAAAGATTTTTTTTCTTCCAGATAGTCACAGACTCAGTGTTGTAAAATCGTTAAAATCCCTGGCAATGTAGTGAAAGTCCTAGTTAGTGCTGTTGGTAACAATGGTACAATAAAGCCCAAAGATTTTAATAATGCATTAATTAAGCAAGTGATTTTTCTATGTTCTAATCAAGGCTTAGCACTTGCTCAAAATATAAACACATCCTACCTTATAGAGGTCATAAGTTATTTCATGATGTTACCCTCCGGATTTAGTAGTCTAGACGGTTGATCCTATGTCTAATTGAATGGCCAGTAACTTCCAGAGATTGTGCATATAAAATATAGTTCCTTAACACAATGCACTCACCTTGTTCCTGCTATTCTGGTGCTGATATGTGTATTCTCTTCTTCGTCAAGCTTAGCCAAGCCAAAGTCTGATATTTTTGCATTAAAATTTTTATCAAGCAGAATATTGGTTGCTTTGATGTCTCTGTGAACAATCTTTAACCTTGATTCCTCATGGAGATATGCCAAGCCTGTTGCTACACCCAGGCAAATGTTGCACCTTGTCTTCCAATCAAGTCTCGGCCGATTTTGTTCAGAACCTGTTAGTACCCAATTGCTTCTTATATATTACCACAGAAATATAAACAGCAAGGCTCATGGCAGTGTTTCTAAAACCTTACCAAACAGAGAATGGGCAAGACTGTTGTTTTCCATGTACTCATATATTAGCAATAGTTGATTTCCTTCAATACAACATCCATAGAGTTTTACAAGATTTGGGTGCTGTAATGCAGATATCATGCCTATCTCATTGACAAATTCACGATTCCCTTGCTTTGACTTAGAAGAGAGCTGTTTAACAGCAATTAGTGTACCATCTGGAAGCACACCCTAGACATTGAGTTGCATTACATATCAAAGTTCTATTATGAGAGAAAATTAAACAGTTGCTGTTGATAATACATTAACCAACAAGAATAAAAGTCAAGTGGCATTTAACAATATGTATCTGTACCTTGTAAACAGGACCAAACCCTCCTTCGCCTATCTTGTTTGCAATGTCGAAGTTTTTGGTGGCAGTTTTGATTTGCTTATAACTGAAGTATCCGGTAACCAACTCTAGGCGTCTAAGCTCTGCATTCACAGGCAATTTAACACCAGAATTATGCCAATGCTATAGCAAGAAGCAACAGATAAATGGCCTTGTTTCCACTTTGACTGCAACCGTTGCAGCCCATTCATATCCTTTTTCAGATCTGTTGCTGAAAAGCCAAACTAATCTCCAAGTATCCAATTAGATCATTATTTTCAGTAAATTAATTTGATAAACAGACAGGTCTCATCTCATTTAATGGCTAACAGATTGACCACTCAGATGGCTAAATGGTTTACAATTTTGATAGCCTGTCAGCCTGAATTGTTGGTTGGAGCTAACAGATTGACCAACCGCTTAGATGCCCTTAACAGCCTGACAGCTTGATTGCTTGTTAGCAGGCATTTTTATGTGTGCAAGCTGTTACCATGTTAACGGAAACATGACTAAATGCATAATAGTGAAATTAGACTTTGAGAGGAATTATCATACTTTTGATGAAGCATCATCAGAGCCGCATGTGAGCATAGGGCCATGATATTTCAAGGGTAGACAAGGTTGCTTCAAATAAGACACAGGATGAAGGGAAAACAAAGGGCAAAGCTAGAAGTAGGGTTATATCAGGAAACCACTGTCAATGTGCTGAAGAAAGAGGAAGGCTTATGAGATGGTTGGTGTATGTCTCAGTCTTGTCATCACCAAAAAAATGCAACGCTCGAGCACTAAGGAAATTAATCTCTTGTAAAATTTATGTGATTCATCAAGTTTAGGCTAACTCCATGGTTGATAAACTTTCAGGAAGAATTGATTATGCAAGTAAACATTCTCCTTGTGGAGCAACATCTAGTCTACTGGGAGATACCACTTTTCCCCAACAAAGATTATAACAAAACACAAGAGTTGACCACTGAACTAGCAATCCAAATATAACCTTGAGAAGACAGCATCCACTTCGTTTGGTTAAAATCATTGCATTCTTTCTAAGATCTTCAAATATTTTACTAGCAAAATTTACGGAACTCGCTTGCCATACCTAAGCAAAATTACATAATTTATAGAAAAAGAAGTCATTCAAGAAACTCATTTTGGATGACTAACACTAAAAACTAAAAATAAGCATTGCTGAGAACCAAAGCAAATCATATTCTGGAGAAAAATTGTGGCAGCTACAATTCAATCATGATGCATGTGGGGCTTCCTACATTCGAGTTCAAAATAACATATTTAGAACTATCATTTATATTAGCCGTCAAACTACTTCAATCTTAAGATATTTGCAATTTGATCCTAAAATTAGTCCCATGACAAGCAGGCTTCACTCACCATTCAGGGTTTCATCATAAAGCAAACCTATAGCAATTAGGTTTTAATTTTTTAATTATACCATCCAACCAAAACAAGATAAACCTTGTTGTCAAACATATTATCTTGCTAGTTCACATTTTGGTTACTCAATGTACTTCCACTGAGTGCATGAGTTATTTTCTATCACATGATGGGATGATATAAGAACTAGTTCACTTAACTAATACAACATAAAAGCTTCTAAGATCCAGAGACATACTCTCAAACAAGAACATAAAAAAGAAAAGGCCTTCATAATAAACACACAGATAGCTGTATTACCATTATGATCTGGGTTCTTTCTTCTTGAGCGAGACAAAATTAGGAATATGATCAACACTATTACAACACAAGCAGCAGAAACAATTCCCAAAATAGCCCCAGTAGATAATTTTTGTCGAGAAGCTTCAGTACACCGATCGAGTGAGAAATCTACAAAAATAATGATAAGATGTAACCATAAGCAAGCAGCTTCAAAAGAAAACAGAGGAAACGAGTCAAGAGACATACTTGGGGTGACAGAAATGGCTGATATAAGAGGTCCATAAACACTTCTATGTGGTATGGAATGTGTCCCTTTCCCAGCCCACTGGAAGTGAATTTCCAAAGTGCCATCTGCATCTACATAAGTATCACTGAAGACCTCAATTTTTTCCTTTCCAGTTCCATTAGCTTCTTTTGCAATATTATAGTCTCTCAAAACCTTATTTCCCTGCATATATTTAAGAAGATATCATAAAAGAATAATTATGTATCTCAGATAAAAAAAAGAAAAAAATAATATAGAGGGATGATGAAAAGACAACAATCCATCACCTGTATTGATACATCAAATATTCGTTGTCCTAAGCTTGAATAATTTTGGTCATCAGTAAACATTATTTCAGCAAAGTGGAGCTTCACTGTATAGTTACCCTCTTGTAAGCAGAGGCCATAGTATTTAAGGGAGAGAGGACTGAGCCGAGCTGTCTTGTACAACTCTGAATTGGTCATGTTCAATAATGATGCATTTTTAGCAATATATTTTTCATCACGATTGTCCACAAAGTCACCCGTGGAGCTGTATGCCCATTTCTCAGTAGAGGCATATTGTGCAGGTCCCAACTGATTTATATCTGCTTCAAATTCATTGCCATCAACAAATGCCTTCTCACCTCCACAATTTATAAACAAGTTGCAATCTGCAAAATTCATGAAAATAAATTTCTTAAAGATTGATTTCTTATATAACCGTTAGTGAAATATATTCTTTTAACATTCCAGACAATCCAAAGAATCCTTTCAGCACCAAAGGGTACTAACTTCTCGCCTTTTCAGAACATGGGAGATTTCGCCTTAAACATGAGTTGACCCTATAAAAGGAAGAGCAGCAAGACAGTATGCTCTTTTTAGTCACTTGAGGAATATGTAGCAATTCAGTAAGATAATGCAAGAAGGAAGCAGCTCACAAGTTATTGTGTGTGGATGAATAACTGGAAACCAGATTCCTGCAAGAAAAATAATTAACTACTGTTGAAGAAATCAAGTACAAGTTACTTTTGTTGGTATCAGGATATTGACTACTTACAGGTTGCCTTGATGACAATTGGATGGTATAGGTGATCCTGTGAAAGTGTTATAAGAAAGGTCCCTGCTATTAATCTTGTAAGTTGATAGACATTGACTGTAAAAGTGATGAGAACTAAGACAGGAACATATTAAGAACCCCTAGAAAGCATCTCATACAGGTTCTTATCGCTTCCCAAGATCCAGTCTGGTATTGTTCCATTAAGCATGTTACTTGTAAGGTACCTGTATGGTGAAACAAGGACATAAAGGCACGTAGTTTAGCTGCAACAACATAAAAAAGCTACTACTATGGCTCACAATAATATAAAGAAATGATTAGGTAAAATGGTCACAATCACATGTAATTTATTGATCTCCTCAATATATCGTAGCTGCTTGGAATTGGACCGCTCAAGTTGTTAAAGCTCACATCTCTGTAAGCAAATTACAATATTAAGTCTTTCAATAGGCTCTCAACCCAAAAAATAGGAAACAACAAAAACAGTAAATGCATCTGTTTTATTTGTCCGCATGATAAATAAGGTTGACAAAGTAAAGCTAAAGGTCGATAACTCGACAAACCTAAAAACTTACAAGGTTTTAATAGTAGGCATCTCTGCAATAAAATCAGGAAGTTCACCAGATATAGATAAGTTTCGGAGAACCCTGCACCAATTCCAACAGTTGCCAATAATTGTGCACAAGGAGCAAGAGAAAAAGAAAAGATTCATGCCTCTGTGGTGCCAGGTGCAATCTGTGTGACCAAGATACTTACAGTCTTTCCATTTTGTTCATATTTTGTAGTGCTGGAAAAGTCCCAAGACCACCTCTCAGATCAGATACCCTCCTAAATAACCAAACTAGATAGATAAATTACAAATGAAAAACAGAATATGTTTAAACTGACAGGAATTTTAAGCATTGAAATGGCTCTTACAACTGTTGAATAGAAGTCAAATTTGAGATGGTGGGAGGAAACGGCCCCTCCATCAATGTTCCTTGCATGTCTCTGAAAGCAAATAATTTACAAATTCAAGAGATTAATTAGGGCCTGAGATTGATAGAAATTCTGCTTAAAGAAAAGAAGAAAAAAAAGGAGTACTGATCCTCACAGTCTTTGGAGCTTTGTCCAGTTACCAATGAAGCTTGGAATCTTGCCAGAGATTGGATTCCCATCGATTATGCTGTAATCAGGCTGAACATCTTAAGCATATATCAACTGAAGTTCCATTTATCGTAAAAGGCAGTCATGTAGCTTTGTGCAAATGGAAGTTCTAAGTCATTAGATAGCTTCATAGTGACCATAGATGATTAACTAAATGACTGGTCGAAAAGTTATATCACCCACAATTCTTTTAGGTTTGTTAGTTTGCCAAGTGAATCTGGCAACTCCCCATTCAGGTTGTTTGCAGAGAGACGACTGTTTAGAGAAAGTAAAAGGAAAGTTAATAAAGAAATAATATAGCCATTCAAAAATGAAGTCAGCAACAATTTTAACTGAAAAAAAGAAAGAACAAACCATATAAGCTTTTACTAATTGATTAGTTTTAGAATTCGTGAAGCATAAATTATCCAAGGTTTCTTCAAGAACTATGCCCCTGTTACCTGAGATATCAGATTTTGTAAGAGGTTCAGATGATGCTTAACATTCAACTTCCCAACATTTCTAATAACTCCTTAAAAGGCTTAAAAAAAGTTGCAGTATCTCCATGACTCCAAGCATTCCAGCTGTTCTTTTTTTTTTGTGCAATGGAGAAACATTAACCATCCTTCAAATCCTAAGCATAGTTTTCAAAATTAGACATACCAATTGGTACGGACTGACAAATATTAGATGGGCTACCTAGACCATCTTATCTGCACTATCGGCAGAGGGAATAGGAAGACAGTCCTTGAGCAGCAATCTCAGGCTCTTAGGCTCTCAGCCATCCCTTTAGTGTGGCAAGAGGAAATGTCGCTCATTGCACTCAATTAATCCATAGATTACTATCGATAAGCAAGAATTCAAGGAGGATGACAAGGCTTCTCCATCTAATTCTGATCTCCATGAGATTCACAATGGCAATGAGCTAAACATTGGACACGCCACAAGTCTAACATCTTAATACCAGATACACAGAGAGATAGAACATGAACTGAAGAGTGATAATTTCTTCATACCATCAAGAGGATGACCATCAGACCAAATCATCCACCAAATTAGTCTCTAAGAACAAAGACAAGGACAAGGGGAAGACAATTGATGACCTAGAGGAGACAGAGAGAGCTCAGCCAAAATTGAGTTAGGTGGTTCCTTATGATCTTAGCCTTTCTTCCAGCATAGATTTCATGAGCCATAATATGATGTCAATTTCTGATCCTAGTTTGCCGAATTTGAGGCTTCATATAATTTACAGTATTACTATGGTGATGCCAATTATGCTCAACAGCCATCATGGTAGCACTATTTAACACTACTTTCACGTCAACAACCACATCAAAGGACTCAATTTCAGGTACAGGACTCATGTCAGTATGCTGGCACATACTTTAGTACCAAGAAGGGAGCAGGGTGTGGGTGGAGGAGGAGAGGGGGAGGAGGAGAGGGGGAGAAGGAGAGGAGGACTGAAAACTTGAGGAGTTTGGAAGACTTAAAACTTTGCCTTCCAGTTAAGTATTACCCTACAAGGATTTACCATGTCACAATCAAAACTCAAAAGGGATACTACAGAAAAATTGAATTATGTATAGCCCCTTATCGTGTGTTATACAAAGCCTGTATGTAGAGGTTGTATGCGGCTGCATCATTAACTGCACAGGAAAGATGATACATGTGTGATGCAATTTCTTGAATTCCATAGTAGCATCCATAAATACCACATCTGAAAATATTTTAAAGGTTACTTGCATCTAGAAGCAAAAATAAACATTAGGCTTGAACCAGTTAATTCCTGCATTTTTCTTTTTTTGATTCAATCAGAGTATTTATACTCAGATTAATGAAAGATAAAATAACGCATATGAGATGCAATTACAAGATATTACACCCTTTTTTCCTGGAACAAAAGAACTCATTTCTCCTTAACAATTCTGAACAATTTTTGTTTTAATATCCATTTGCAAAGACTCAAGTGGCTGAAGTCCTCAGATATTTGCACCTAAGAGCACAGTCAGTGCTCCTAAGAACATTTATTCTTAGTTTGATAAAAGTAATAGAGTTTGAGAGGAAGGATCTTACAGGTAATTTAAGTTGATGAGGTTACCAATGGATGCAGGTATCAGACCTTCTAGCTGATTGCAATCCAGTGTACTACATGACAAAATATTCCAGGAAGACCAAGACGGTGAGATAAAGAGCGATAGGGAGAGAGTAAGAGTGTGAGCGTGTGTGTAGGACACAGCAAGAGAGAGAGAGAGAGAGAGAGAGAGAGAGAGAGAGAGAGATTGTGTGTACAGTTCTTCAAGGGTAATGATGTTCCCTATCTCGTCTGGAATCTTCCCTGATATGCGATTTCCTAAAAGTGACCTGCAAAAAATAGTTATTCATGCTGTGTTTTCTGCATTGTTTAATTTTTTTATTTGTCAAACATTATGTCCTATGGGGAAATACAAGAGAAACAAAGCAAAGAACAAACTCACAAGGTAGTCAGGGGAAGAGAAGCCCATGCAACTGGAATGGATCCGTTTAAATAGTTGCGTGCCAAATCTCTATTAACAAGCAATCAACGATTGATCAAGACATGTCATTCTATAGCTAATATAAGGACTCTGGTGTTCAATCACTTCATTCAATAATCCAATCTAATACTTACAAGACTTGTAAGGACGTAAGATTGGCAAATTCGTCTGGTAGGACTCCAGTTAAGTTCTGACCCTTTAGCTGTCTGTAAATCTCAAATTGCATGTGTAAACATGAGTTTTGATTAGAAGGAAGGCAATCAAAAGAATATATAAGCAGTGGTAATGAGGTCTACATGCTTGTGACATGACAAACATTGATGGTGGGGCTGCAGGTGCACGTGAGATTGCTGACAACATATATGAAGGAAGAGGGTTCAATCCATCCTTCAGTTCCACTACATGGATCCACTGAAATGTTCCACTTTTTCTTCAACTTGGAGGCAATCACTTTCAGCGCATTAACTGGTTCATCACATAACTTCATGTATTATTTCTGTGCACATAAATGTGCATAGCATATAAAATACATATCTAAACAGAAGTAAGTACTGGTAGAAGCACATAGAATTGGTTGTGATTAGGTTGATCAGCTGAGCATTATGAACGCATGGTCAGAAGGGGTGCATGCAGTTTGATATTTGGGGTTCCAATATCATCAACACTCAGCTACTTGAGGTGTGAGGTGTTGGTGAAAACCTAATAAAAACCAAACTTAAAGGAAGAAAAAAATTCATCAAATCAATCCTCATTAGACTCCAAGTTTTCTGAAGCAACATGTTCTTAGGTGTAAGAGAGACAGAAACTGTTAAGATAAAATTTCTGCACGGAGGATTGAGTATGACAGAACAATAATGTTGCAGCACAGAAGCAGGTCTTCAGGCCCTCACAAGAAGGTAGCAAAAGAACACTGAGAGTCAGAATATGGCAACTCGGTGGATATAAACTATGCAAATTAAAGACAGATAAATCTGAGGTACCTAAACACCATAAGCATGCAACTGTCCTTGAAAAAAAATCATAATATTAAACGAATTGGCCAGATCAATATTTGGATATGAACTTAGCGATAGTGTAGAGATTGAATGCCAGAGGTCTGCTAATTAAAAGGGTCAATATAAAAAATAAGGAAAGCTCAGATATAAAAGACCAAACAAAATTTGCAGATACAATTGTGAGTTGTAAATGTCTACCACCTCCTATTATAAACCTTGATAACGTTGTCATATATGAAGAAATCAAATCAACAACAGTTCTAAAGCAGGATGCTAAACAGTTTTGTATATTCAGTTGATAGAATACTCTGTTGTTAAGGAAGCTTTTATATATTGGAGATGATATGAAACAGTGTGGTTCCCTCAAACAGATATGTTCATCCAGTAATTTACCATGCAAATAAGGCTAGTAACACAAGATAAGCAGATTAGAAGGTGGATTCCAGGTAGTAAATGGAAATCATAGTAAATGGAAATCATAGGAAATCAGAGAAAAATCATACTAATTGACTATTATAATCATCGTCCTTTTCTCGCCACCTCTGTTCAGAGATCAATCGACCGTAGAAAGCAACGCAGAAGAGACAAAAGAAAGAGATAAGAAGAAAAGAAAATAAAGAAAGAACAAAAGGAGAGCTTCTTGAATAACGGCAAATCGACGAGGGCCAGTCGACGTGCATCAAGAAGGTGGATCTGTGATCCCAGTAACCAGAGCTCACCTCAACTGACTGCGACAATGATCCGCCAAGAGAAGCGTTCCATCTCCTCCTCTTGCCATCTCTGACGCACATCGAAGTGATCCAATAAGCTTCTAACAAAGCCCTGACGGCGAATCCCCGCCAAACCGTATCGGCCGGTGAAAATAATAGGCCAAAGAAAACAAAGAAAAACCAAAATAGGAATATATATATATATATATATATATATATATATATATATATATATATATGAGGTTTTTTTAAAGAGGAAAAAGACCTCTAATTCTCTATGTTTATTACATTATGAGCTTTTTTTGCATGGTTATGTCAAAATTTGAAATTAATATAACAAAAAAATAAAATAAAATCGAAGCCTTCATCGAAAAAATAAAAGATGTTTTTTTGAAAACCCCTAATATATATATATATATGTTATTTTATTAATTTTCTTTAGCTAATTGTTGCATGAAAATTATAGAGTAAATAAAGAGAAAAAGATAAATGAGATCTTATAACAAACTATCGAGAAATAAGCTAATAAAAGTATTATATGTTTGTTACTGCATGGACTTTATTTGCTACAGAGGTATTGGGAGCAACACAACAGTACGTAGTAGCAGTTCTGTGAGACCACTTCAACTATTCTAATTCCTTCAGATGATTCAGACAAAGATCGAAAGCGATGACTGAAATATATAGCTAAAGCAGTTCTAGTTCTTCCTCCTGAAACTGAGGAGAAGCCATTCCTCGCGCCGCAAGAACAGAAACGACGAAGACGAAGTGAAACAACAGTATCGGAAGTCCTCTCAACTACCTTCTTTCGGATCCAGCTGCTGCGCCTCGCATCCGAGCTCTCGAAGCGAGCTCAGGGCGATCAGCAGCGAGAGGATGATGACGAGGCCGAAAGCGTTGGAGCAGCGTGAAGACGATGATGCTCCTTTCATCAGCTCTTTCTTTCGTGTCTTCCGACCGCACAAGGATCAAATCACAAGGAACTCCGCGGTGGGGCTTCTGCTTACTTATTGGAAGCTAAGGAAGAAGATTCATTGCTATAGCATAGTCACTGCTCTCTTCGAGAAAAGATTGACGCCATCGAGCAGCAAATCGACATCTAGCTGGAAGTTTGACCATGGCTTCTTCGTCAAAGCTTGAGAGAAGAAGATTATCTCATGCTGTCTGTGAGCAGTCGTATCCTCTGCTTCATATAATATTATAGTCCTTTCGAGGGCATATAATACTTCTTTGGAACGATTTACTATGAAACGAAAAAATATATTCTAAAGATAAACAATAAAAAAATACTACAAAACCGACAAAAAAAGATTAACACAAGTTGATTATATTCTAAAATCAATGCCTTGCAACCCTCGCAAAGCCGACAGCTCACAGTTTGAAAGACAACAGTATTTAATGTTGTCATGTCAATCCGCTGCCAAAGTTTGACGATAACATGTCAAATGCTCTTATCGTAGAGTGTGCTACTTCATTTATGTTCCACTGTGAAGAAGAACGTGATCCACCAACCACAACCTCCACCGGTATTCAAATCCAATGAAAATAAAACATACTACTGAATGAGCCACTTGTTTGCCTTCAAGTAGTTGATCATTCACACCCAGGTTGAGTTTCTGGGTGAAGCTTCTTTCTTTCAACAAGGGATTAATGGACTTCTAAACATATAATCTCTAAGCTAAAATAATAGCAATAATAACTTTGATAATAGAAATATTCACCAGCTTTCAAGTCAGATAAACATGCCGGTTCGGATCATTTTAGGACTAGTATACGATAAGATGTGATAAGGATATTTAATAATAGAGCGAGAAAGTTAATATGATTGACTTTTTCATGTTCCATAGTCGACATCTCTATGTCATGTGATCGATATATCATCATCATACAATTTGTAACATCATACAATTATGATGTCTTGGATTAGATATAACCTTTACTATAAAGGCTAAAGCCTACTATAAAAAGTTTCTTAGATTAGATATAATCACGTGCAATTAGGACAGAAGAAGAACACTTGCGGACTAGACCAACTCATTTGCAAAGGAAATGGAACATTGGCCATGATCATGCATAGAAATGCTCGTCTCCCCTTAGTTTCCATGCATTTATACCTACTCTCGTAGGTTTTTCCATACACTACACAGTATTTTTGGGTTGTGATAGCTGACTGAAAGCTTGAAGAGACATTACTATGAGGAGCAATACTTCACAACAACTCTTCTTCTTCCTTGTTCCTTCACTTTCTTCTCTTCCTTTGCTTCCAGTTTCAAGGAATCTAGTGCCCACAACTCGGACTTGTCGCTTTACAATGTCAACTTTCCTGTTCAAGATTTTAGCCTTTGACAGGGTCAGGATGATGCATGAAGATAAACACAAGAAAAAGAATGTGACTGATGTGGGATGACATTGACTGCATGCTGCAGCATTGAGGTTGATATGAGGGCAATGGAATGCACTAATAGCATTAATATTCACCTGCTCAGAGATTATGAGGCTTTAGTTAAAATGACAAGAAATGGCTCTGTACCAAAGCAAAGTGGCAGGAAATAATGGAAAAGGACCATTTCATTAGCTGTGAGCAGTTCTCCTGCAGACAAGCAAACAAAATGCATGTGAACAAGAATTGATATGTTTAGTTCTTGTAGCTCAACAACAGCAAGAAAATTGTCTGCTTCTGTACAGAATTACGAGACTTGATTTATAACCCATGATTCATCATAGTTCTTGATTTGTAACTGTTCAGTATTATGAAGGCTGTAACACACTATTTATATATGGAACTGCTCACCATGTTGTGACAAAAACTCTCTTTTAAGGCCACTGTAAACCTGCAACCTTATAATATATAGAGAAACATTGGGATGTAATCAAACTAGAAAACAAGGATCTCTATCTTCTCAGTTCATCCAATGATGGCTCTCAAAGATAAGAAAGGTAAAGAAGATGAGGGAGTGTTTGGAAGATGTGGAAAATGCCTGGCATTGCTCGTTAATGTACTGCATCTGTGAGATGATTGATGAGTGCATTTGTCATGGGAGCTGGCAAAATTGACTACATTTTTGTCGGCAGACTTTGGTTTGGATTTGACTCTCAACCAACTAGATAACAATTGATATTAGAATCAATAATCAAGATAAAAGACAAGAGTAAAAAAGAATTACTCATGAATGAGACATCAACAAAGTTAACAGTGATCTCATTAGGTCGGTTCATAAAAAATGATCGAACCGATAACAAAAGCCATAGACACAACACACATTCCGATTCCTTTGCCTTACTAGAAGATAGAGGGGAAAAAAAAGAACTCTATAAAATACGTCGTGTTTCTAAATTTCATTGTCAATAATTTTTCCTTTGGATCATTTCGATTTTTAGAAAATATTTGCTACTTAAAAACCTAATATATTGCTTTCTTCCTTCTCCATTTTCTTTATGCATTAAAGCATTTGAACTATAAATCGTTATATTAAGATGCTTAAGCTCAAGTTTATCATAGTAAATTCATTTAATTTCTAATAACTTAAATATTCTTCAACATGTAGTTAAGAGACTAAAGTAGGGTGTCATGAGATGAGCAATTTCCTTGAAATAAATGTGTGATGTGTTTGATGAATTCCTGGTGAACACAATGCTTCATGAGACATCTATGCTTGCTATTATACTTCTCATAAGCTGTGAATACTGTTTCCAGTGGATGCCTTCTTTGATTTCCTTGTATGGACTGTATCATCCTCCTGTTAATGCTGAATTCTCAATCATAAGGAATCACAAACATGTTTCCAACCTGCTTCATCTTTTACCAATAAGGATAAAGCTGTGAAAGAGTATTTAGATGATCAGTGAAACCAATGAGATAATATGTACCCTTCACTGATTCAAGTTGAATGCACCACTCTACATCTAACTAAGAATCTTTGACAATGGATGAAGCCTTCACAAAAACAAACTTGCATGGGTAATAAATGCATGCCATGATGCATCAAAATGTGTCCCCACCATGTGGCTTGATGATGCAATATGATCATTTATAGCCCTTTTTCTCTTGCAAACCTTCAGTTGTAGATTGGGATCAGTAGATTCAGAGATCTACAAGCCACTTCACTATGATGGGAACTAGAAGTAGCAATTTTCACTTTTTTTAACCCAAAAAAGCTCCAATTTTCAATTAAAAATGTCTTTCTTAGTTGATTATGAGGTGAGCTTGTCCTTTCTTTCTAGATCAAACAAAAAAAGGAAAATTCCTCAATATATAGTTGGTAGGGTTTTAGAATTTTATATAAGAAAAAAAGTCAAGCAAATAATTAGTAAAAAAATAAACTCAAATTACAATTGAAAATAATGACCTAATTTTATATATAATTATATTCTTTTACTTATTGGAGATTATTACTTATAATCTCTTTTTTACTATTTATAATCTTATTTTATTTTTTTTAAATATATTTAAACTACTCCTTTATAATTGGACATAAATGCCCTCTTACTCGAGCTCTTCTTTTTCTCTTCCTCTTCTTCTTCCTCTACGAAGGATGATATTAAGAGGGTAACATCGACGACGGTGACAGGTAGCGAGAATCATCAGTGGCGAATGGCATTGGTGAAGAGCGAGGTGAAATAAGAGTTGGCAAAAAAAAAAGAAGAAAATTTGATTAAATCAATAATACAAATATTGTGCTTGCTAATTGCTCTAGTTGTTTTGGCACATCCAACCTTCACCCATGCCATGTGCCATTCCTTATGATCTTCATGGGGATCAAGACCTTTGTTTGGATCCAATCTATCAGTACTATCAAATCCTAATTTTTCTGTGTCTCGATGTTCTCTCCCAAGAACTCTCATAATTGATACGCGATGCCCATAGTGACGTTGACCACACCCAGAACACAAATCCTAAAGCAGAATGACCAGTGCAGCGGAGGATCCGTGCTCATGGCAGCCGCATCAACGGGGAAGAACAGGACCAGCGTTGATCGAAGCAGACAGCCTGCAGTCTAACTCGCGCCGCACAGACCCGCTTTGCACGTCACCAAGAACAGCCTACGAGGCAGTTGGCGGGTTGTACGCTCGCACAAGATTAGGGTTTCATGCATGGGAAGAGTATAATCCACGGATGTAATCCAACCCATGGCGTTGATCACATGGAGCGGCCCAATTCCAGTTGCAGCAAATTAATGTTCGCCACCTGCTGATCTCTGAGAAGAAACGATCCTAGGCGACGTACTAAGATTTGCGTGCATGGCCAGCTATGCCCTCACTGGCCAGTCACGTTGCTCTTCTCTATCTCCTTCTTCGATCCCAAAGCACAGGAGAGATCAGCAAGTAGCTGCTATAAATAGGCCTCATGCTACAGATGCTGGTGCCTGAGGTTTTGGAGTCACTTCATGTTGTTCACGCAGTAAGAAGAGGTAGATAAGTCGATCGACAGAGAAGATGAGTTGGTTGAAGAGCTTAGTAGGTCTTCAGCTTGTGACGCTCTTCCTGAGCGTTTCCCTCGTCTTTCCTGCGGCCAAGGGTGCCGAAATGGAGATGAAACCATCATCGGAACATCCCGTCGCGGTGCCACCGGTTCCGCCGCCGATGATAGCACCCGCAGCGCCTCCGATCTTCACCATCGCGGCTGAAGGCGTCATCTACTGCAGGTGCAAGCTCCCGCGCTACTCAAAGGCCGTCGATGGCGCCCCTCTTCCAGGTTTTGTTTCCTTCATTAGCATTTTCACATGACGGTGCAGTAGTGTGCACGACTAACCTCTTGTTCTTGCGTCGTCCATCGTCGCAGGTGCGGTGGTGCTGCTGAAGTGCGGCAGCCAGCGCACGGTGTGGGCAGCTAAAGGAAGGACCGACACCCATGGCTACTTCTACCTGCAGACACAACTGAAGTACAAGTCGCTGTCGCGCACCTGCAGGGTGTTTGTGCTGTGGTCGCCGGTAGGCCCGTGCCAGGTGCCGCGGCGGTATGGGCTGAAAGGACCAGGAGCTTCTCTGATGTTTGAGAGGAAGCTGAGCGACGGGTACAACACCATTGCTCTCTACACCGCAGGCTTCTTCGAGTTCGGCCCGGTGAAATCGAGCAAGTGCTATCTCCCCTATTGATGCACGATCACTACTAGTCTAGCACTGACGGTAGTCGTTTGATGAGAGGAGAATAGCCATGAATAAAGGTTTAGTGTGGAGTAGTACCTTGTTTGTGGGATGAAGTGGGGCGTGTAGCTTTCAGCTTTCTGATGTTGGTGTCGGTGAATCAAATAAGTAATGAGATTGATGTTCTTAGTGGGAGGAATTTGTGGCTTTTGCCATAATCATGTGTTATCACCCAATCTCTGTGATCACCTTCAAGGAGAATCCGACTTACACAAATATCGAGGGTTATCCTTCTCTGCACGAAAAATCGATGTTAGATAGATTTTCGATGTGATCTTTTCGACACTAAAAATATTTATAGTATTGACTCCGATGTGGATAAGGGAGAAGTACTGAGACGAGAGAGAGAAAGAGAGTTCAACCTCGAAACCTGTACTGGCGACGCACCTCGACATATGTATTCTGCCACGCCCATGGCAGAGCTCCAAATAACAGCCTCTAATGCTTGCTTGACATGTAAAGGTATCCAACACAAAAAAGCTGTATCTTTGTTTGTTCTCTTCAGTTGCCAATCCTTACTCCAGAGAAGTTTACAGCTTTAGCTTTGGCACGCGACAGCAGCAGATTCGATTCCAAACTCAGTGATTCATCAGTAGAACATGTTCAAGTTCATCATCACTACAATTGTGGTTCCAAGTTGGAATTGCCTGGGCTTCTCACAAGCTTATCTCAGCTGCAGCACTTACTGTGGTGGCTTTGTCTTCTTGAATCAGAATGTCTGAGAATTTACCCAAGAAAAAGTTTTTATCCACGAGGGCCAGTGCAAAATCTGGGAATCATTTGATACATAATGAGGTCTTCATTAGATCCATTTGGATTCAATTCAGCTGCAAAAAAAGGAAAGGAAACAAAAGGATGCATGGCTCCAAAGACTTTTGATCATCATGTCCCATGCATGAACTGGAAATGAAAGTGATCTGCTACCAAACATGTTTCTCTGGTAGGTCCTGAAGTTGGAGGACTTGTTTTGGCTCCATGTGGCATGTTTGTAAGAAGTCATCAATGTCCTTTTCTGAAATGAACACTCTTCATTTAACCCTGGTCATCTGGTTAGATCTGATACTTATATTTCTGTTGCCATATTTGTTGATGAGATATGCTGTGAAAGATCTCTTGGATTATGCAATCTGAATACCTTTTTCCTCCTCATCCAAAATGCACTTTGTTTGCCTTGGTTTAAGCCAAGGATCATCATGATGTAGTACTTAATTTACTGCCTTGTTCTGTGATGTTCTTGGTAGGAGATCAGAGACGACAATCTCTCCTATCAGTTTCTTCTGTCACCACCAAACAACCAGACTGCAGGTGGCAAAGTAATGCAGCCAACATTTAGCAGTCTGCAAGCGAAGCAGCTGATGATGTTGCTGTTAGCTAAGGCTCGGAGAAGAATCATCAGTTCTATGAGATTAATGTCGGATGCGTTCCAGCTTCAAATAATGGTCAGAGATGGTGCAAACCAAATTCTTTAAATAGTCAATCATACACACAGGCATGTTCTTCAAGTTGCAGCCTGAGAATGCTGAAAACTTTTGTGTAGAAGAAATCACAGTGGACTTTATAGTGTGTAGATATGACTAGAAAATAGCTTGATTTAAATATCAATTGATGAGCAGAGTATATTTGTACATACCTTCTCATACATATAAGATAAATGACAACCAACCACCCATTAGTTACTAGGCCATGAAAAGGTCAACAATCAGCCTGAATTGGTGGAACATTGATGGCTTCATCATCATTCCTGAAATATCAGATAAGCATTTACAGAGTGCATTGTAAGTCTCTATCAGAAATGGAGCATATAGCTAATAAACACAAAAGGTAGTGCATTCACCATGACTCAGATTATTTATGAGACTGTGAGAGTCATGTTCTTCAGTAGATTGAACAGTTTGGAAGCACACAAAAAAGGTCAGAAGATACTTGACACTGTTTTGTACTCATCCCTTGCAGCAGCAATAGCATCTGAAAATTTCAGTTGCACAATGATTGTTGTGTAGCGCAGGCAAATAAATAAGTGAATCCAAATGGAATTATCTGCTCCAGACAGTAGATTTGGAAGAAAGATCATGTAAGTGACCTGTACAATCCATCTAAACACTGGTTTTCGACATGATCAGTAAAGAGAAGGACAGCCTCCCCTCCCAAAATGGCAGGCAACAGCAGGAATACTATTCCAAGTCTTGAGACAATCTCAATCCTTCATCTTGCTGCAGTGCACTGATATCCTTCATCTTGCTTCTCATGTGAGTACTCTCTGGTTATGGAGAAGAGTATTCTTTCATGGAGTCCACCTTAAGCTTGTCAGGTACGGTTTCCCTTGGTTTCGTATTAGAAGTCAGTGGCAAACCTCTTAAAGAAGTGGGAAGAGGAAAGAGGAACTTTGCGTCACACGGTTGACTATGGATTGAGCTGAAGACTCCTTTTCCTTCTGGTTTCCTTGGATCTGAGCAAGACAGTCCCCCATCCCCATTTCTACCTGCTCACGAAGTGCAAAGTGAAGACGCCCATTAATTCCTGGGAGCTGTTGCTGCCTTGCCTTGCTCTGCAGTCGGTGTTAGGAGCTCTTGTTCCAGCTCCGAGGATGATGCTGGCAAACAATGGAGCTCTGTACCCAGTTCTTGGCCTTGCATCTTGTGTTGCCCTCGTGTACATGTCTTTTGGAGACCTGGCCTTGGATCTGAGCACCCATGCGAGAGAGCCTGAGATGAGCTTTGTGGGAAGGAACGGAACTCGGTTCACCATGGACGGCAAAGCATTCTACGTGAATGGTTGGAACTCCTACTGGCTGATGGATCAGGCTGTGGAGGAGATCAGCAGGCCAAGGGTGAAGGCAATGTTCCAAGCGGGTGCCAAGATGGGGCTCACGGTTTGCAGGACCTGGGCGTTCAACGATGGCGGCTACAATGCCCTGCAAGTCTCTCTTGGACATTTCGACGAACACGTCTTCCAGGTATCGAGCTTCCACATTCTGCTCCATCTGTTCCCGATCTTACGCGCCGATACTTCGAGTTGCAGGCATTGGATCGAGTCATAGTGGAAGCAAAACGGCATGGCATTCGGCTGCTGCTGAGCTTAGCTAACAACTTGGAGGCTTATGGAGGAAAGACTCAGTACGTGAAATGGGCATGGGAAGAAGGAATCGGGCTGAGCTCCTCCAACGATTCCTTCTTCTTCGATCCATCCATTAGAAGTCACTTCAAGACATACTTAAAGGTGACAACTTTTTTCTCGGAAATAATTCATCTAAAACACTTCGAGATATGGTTTTCTTGACACTCTTCAGATGTCTGATTGCTTCAGACCGTACTGACAAGGAAGAACCGCTTGAATGGGATTCAGTATAAAGATGAACCCACCATTTTCGCTTGGGAACTCATGAACGAACCCCGATGCATGTCTGATCCATCTGGTGACACCCTCCAAGTGAGTCTGTTCTTCACGTTCTATGGAAAAACACATCGAAAATTCAGAATCAAAGAATTTTGATTTCCATCGAAACTACAGTCAGCATCATAAAATAACTCGAGATTTCAGTAATTGCAATCTTTAAATTGTTCAGGACTGGATCGAAGAATTGGCAGCGTACGTGAAATCGATCGACAAAAACCATCTCCTAACAGTAGGACTGGAGGGATTCTACGGCCCTGCAAGCTCACCAGAGAAGCTAAAGGTGAATCCCGGACAATGGTTCGGCACGCTTGGCTCCGACTTCATCAGAAACTCCAAAGTCTCAGACATAGACTTCGCCTCCGTCCACATCTACCCTGATCAGTGGTAAGCATCAAACACCCGTTAATGCTTCGAGCAACGCTCTCAAGGCAAAGCAAACGAGTCGTCTTGTGGTTGTGCAGGCAAGTCGGTGCAGGGCTCGAAGAGAAGATGAAGTACATCTCCGGGTGGCTGACCTCACACATCGAGGATGGCGAGGAGGAGCTCAAGAAACCTGTGCTGTTCACGGAGTTTGGCCTGTCAGATAAGAGCAGGGACTTCGATCACGCCCACCGCGACGTCTTCTACGAGTCCATCTTCGACGTCGTCTACGAATCTGCGAGGAGGGGGGGAGCTGGTGCAGGTGCTCTGGTGTGGCAGTTCATGGCGGCAGGCATGCAGGAGTACAGTGATGACTTTGGGATCGTACCGGAGGAGAGGTCGTCCATGTACAGGCTGATAAAGAAGCAGTCGTGCAGGTTGATGAGACTGAGCCACGGGAGGGATTGGATGAAGAGGAGGGACTCTGAGACCTTCTGTGCAGAGTAAAACGCCTGCATCCATTTTTGTTCTGCTACTTTCCAGTGGAGCTCACCGGGGGAGATGAGGTTTAGTTTGTGGAAGTATATAATTAATTCTTTTTGTGGAGTCAATATAACTCCTATTATTGGTGTAGCATATGAGGGGACTCCATCCATGGAGAGAACAAGATGAAAGATACATAGCAATATGGTATCCACTAGCTGTCACAGTTGAAATTTGGATGTCAATAAATAATGCTGGCAGAGGGTGATTCAAAATAAAATTGTTTTGGTATATTGATCATAGTGTAAGATAAGAAATGTAGAGGTAAGATTATGTATATTGATCATAGTGTAAGATGAGAAATCTTACATTCTGATCACTATCAACTCATCAGAAATCATATGCTATTAGATGTTGCAAGACTCAATCAACATTTGAACATGAGACCAGCATAGGTCATAGACATAGTAACTTTGAAATTTATCATCCAATTCAAAGTTAAAGACAAAAAATTGGCAAAAAAAAAATGAATTAGTGGGATTTGTATTATAAGATAAATGATATTGCTTCAAAGATATCAATCAAATATTTATAAGAATTCCAGGAAGAAAAAGCAAGCAATCAATTGAGTGGAGCTTAGTCTCTCAAAGGTTATCAATAATAACAGTAGAGAGCCTTTTTCTGAGCTCTAAATTGGCTAACAACATAGTATCAACATGCCACTGAAATACCCAATTTACTACACCAAAAACACTGATGTTTGATCAATAAAAATGAGCAACTTAAATTGAAAGGTATTATATTAGAGCATCACATGTTTATAGAAACTCCACAGCAATTATTGCCACTATGTATAGAAAGAGAAAATCAGGACCTCACTTCAGCTTTTGCCTTTGTAATGAGAAACAGTTGGTTCAGAAGGCACAAACTTGTGGAACTTGAGTTTTTCTTGTGCCAGCAAAGATCGACGAATAAAGGTAGTTACTAACATCACAGAAATATTATTTTAGATCACCACGTCTTTAGCAATTCAGCCAGAGCATATAGTGCCACTTACAGAAAATCAAGAGAAAAGTAGGACCTCACTTCATCTTTGCTTCTGTAAAGAGAACATGCTTGTTCACTCGCGGATCATACTTGCGGAACTCGAGTTTTTCTGTCATCTTCCCAGGATTCTTTCGCTTAACATAAAAAAATCCAGTTCCAGCAGCTGAGACCAACCTAATAAATATTGATCCACGCTTTGCCTTACCCATCTATTCTGAAAATGTATCTAGCAAAACATACAAAGATAAATCACAATTTCAGAACGAGGTCAAACCTCAGTTGATAGCCAAGAAACAGAATTTCGTATGTTCATGAACAAGTAGGCATAAACATGTTATATTGATTAAATATTAAACACTATATCTATAATCCATTCATTTTTACTAACCGCAGAGGGTTCACAACAGATCATAATTTTCTGGTATTGGAAGAGTTCCAGTTGTTCTACAGAATTTGGAGGGTGACCCATCGCACGTGGGTGAGCCATCGAACTTAGGCGACCAGGTTTTAAGTCAATGAAACAGCCTCTCTACTTGTTGGAAAGCTGTGTGCATTGACTCTGTAATTGTTTACATGCGGGTGTTACAAAATGGCATACAGTATAGATCAAAGCAGAACACATGATAATGGCCTAATCAGCTCCAAACCAACAGGACAATAACTATCCTTACAAGTTACATCAAACTCACTTTCCTACCTAGGATCGTGAAGGGGTCGATAAACTCGGATGATAACAGAACATAGAATCGTAAGATCCTGCAATTCATACAAAATTAAGTTTGAGATATGTACATATACTCAATAAAAATTATATTTTATTTGTTAAGATTTATTAACCATAGTTTGTTCTTACGTTAATAATTACACTTTTCATACAAGAGAATGCATAGCTTAATAATAGTATCTCTTATAGTGTTTTGTGTTTTTTCTTTCAGGTTTAAAATAGGACAATTGATCTCTCCATCACTCAAGAATCTGAACTCAAAAATGATGATGCTAAAAGAAGGATTGTATTGATGATGATGTTTCTATCATACTAGTTAAAAGAATTTTGTACAATAGTGGTGATAACTGAAGTGAAAATTTTGAGTTATCAATGTCATATTTTGGTTTCTTTGAACTTATGAACTGTAACATTGTTGACTTTCCTTATACTCAATGAATCCCACTTCAACAGTAGCATTTACAAAGTAAAATTAATTTTTGCTCTATTAAGGTATAATTCCTCTGCTAAGAACATCATGATGATCACTGCAAGCATCACAAGATAATACAAAAATCAGAGAAAAGCACAGTTTATTCTCGTGTATCAAATCTGGAAATGTCAACATGATGCTGTCTAACCTAGTTTTCTACAAGTTCTCATTCCTCGATCGCTCTGTAAATGTAAACAGAACACAAATAGCTGAAGGCATGAGTTGATAGACTTAATGACACATATGAGAGATTGTGTGTACTGTGTGCTGACTGATGACATACGTATGACAGACAGTGCTGCCTTTGGAAAGGCAGGCGACGAGAGCAGCGGCGGGGACGAGATGCGAGAACAGGAGAGGGGAAGCTATGAGGGTAGGGTAGGAGACGGGAGGAGCGGAGAGAAAAGCAGCGGGGAGGATACGAGAGAACGGGAGAGGGAGGAGAGTTGAGACCGCGAGAGACGATGAGAGGAGAAGGGTACCAGGGAAGCGGCGGCTCCGCCTGCGGCAACGGCAAAGATGAGCGGTGAAAGGGATCGGGCGGCGGCGGCGTCAGCAGGGGAGGAACGGAGCGAGGTTAGGGCGTCGTCGCGGTGCGTCTGGAGTCGGGTTGGATTTTTGTGCGTACCATTTTGAGTCGACTCGGTAAACTCGGGTTGACTCGTACGACTATATCGCTTTTACGTGATCGACGCATGAGTCGACCTGAGTCTGTCCAAATCCGGTTCGACGACTGAGCCACCTCGCCGGTCCTGATCTGGACGGTAGGATCGCATGAGTATATCAAATTTACGAAATTGATGGGCGAGTCGACCCGAGTCGATCAATAATTTGGTTCGATGACCGAGCCAACTCGCTAGTCCTGATCGATATCATACGATCCTAATATATCTTATTTGAATGAATAATATATTTATTATTTATTATATATTTTTCGTTTATAACGATTCAATTTGTCTTTCCACTCAAACGTCACTGATACTCATACGTATTCATATATTTGTATTAGTAATGATATATATTATAATAATTAAACAACTTTTTTATTTATTATTTTTTGAAAGTATTATGATTTATATTTGACAATGGAAAAAGATATAATTATTTTTAACAATAAGAGATATTACATATAGTGTCTATGTTAAAATTCAAGGTGATAAGATTTGTAAACAATCATTAAAGTGTCCATCGAGTTAAGTCTCGCTCTAATGTTAATATCATTTAGGCTCACAAGATACCTCACAGCTTATTAAAGGTCGAATAACTTACATAATCATTTTTATAATTGATTGTGATCACTTCAACATGTTATAGAAAAGCTCATTTATGTGTGTTCCTAAAAGACTCATTCTTTAATCTTCTTAATTTTTTTATTAAAAATGTTAGAGGGATCCTATCGAACATACTTGTGTTATGCAAAGTCATGACCCGAAACTACTTTTTAACACCTCGACTTGAGATGGATTTAAAAGCAGTTGCGATGAATAAGATAAGCACTCGAGGTTCAAAGAACCAAGTTGATGATATATATAATTTGGAGAATTTATTCTCCAAGGATGATCGATATATCTAACTATGTTTGTTGCATACTTTTTTTCTATCTAAATATCGGTGAATGGTTTACATTTGCCAGATTTATATCATTACAAATTATGCTTAACATGCAGCTAAAAATATGCTTAATAATCATGGACTGAGATATCCTCCCATAAACTTGTGAAAAAGAACACAATTGCATTATGCAATTGTATCTTGTGATATGAATCCAGATCTAAAGAGTTTTGATGGAAGGGGCTACTTCATGAATTCAATGGAACTAATCATGCTCACAACATACAATATCACTTGATTCCTAGGCATGAACAAATCATAATCAAGTACACAGCATTATCTGAATCATGGCACCAGTTTAATATTGCATTATTGTATTCATTGCAACAGACACAATTCATTGCTAGGATGTAAAATGAAGAGCTTACACCAAGAATCCATCTTATCAAATGTCATGAATTGAAACCATCGAAAAGAGAAATGCAAATTAACACATGAATAGGGGAAGGAAAGAAGGGGACTAAAAAAACAAGAAAGAACAACTCAAGATGGACTGCAATATTCCTGTCTGTTCACCAAATTATTACACTAAGGTCATTTCTCAAAATAGCTGAAATGAAGAAAATTTCACATTTTCATTTGCTGGAGAAAATTGAGGGAGGCATGCGCCAGTTGATGAACTACAAGCCCTGATCAATGAGGTAGTCACCCAACCTCTCCACAACCATGTTGCACTGGCCTGGAGTCATTGGCTCATCATAAAGGCCAATGACCACTGCTTGGCCTGTCTTCTTGATGGTGATGCCACCTGATCCCTGTCATGGAAAAGAATATTTCTTTAGAACCTCGATAAAAGAACTGTGAATCTAAAAGGCCTTCTTAAAATGACCTCAAACTAATGTAGCAAATTGGACACTATGAGGCAGGGCCGAGCCCGTGTTGCGAGATAAAAGTATGGCAGCAGCATCAACAATATTGTCTCATGAAAATTCCGCCATAAGCAGACTTTGCAATCTTTACAAAACTTAGCCCTAGAAATAGGATTCGGTATCTAGCATGTGTATTGATAAATATTTATCTAAATTCACAAAATGCCGAGGTTGTCTGATACATTGAAGCACTAATCAGTTTTTTCTAGTCCCAAAGTTTAGCCTATAAAAGAACTGGCAACTCTAGATACACAGAATTATCTGCTTACTGTTGGGAAGAAAATAAATGCTAATAGAAGGTTTGAAAGCAAAGCAACCCCATTCTGGTTGCATGCAGCTGAAAAGGCATCAAAACTAAGATGGGAAAGACTTCAAAACATTGTTATATGTATTATACAATATAAATATAACCTGACGTTCGAACCGAAATTGAATAGAGCTGGAATTGGAACCGAATTGACCTAACGGTTTGTTGGTTCCAAACCGAACCGGAACCAGTCCCGGGTGATTCAATTCCAGTTCTTAATTTTGGTAAACTGAAATCAACAGTTTTAGTTCTAGACCGACGATTCTAGTTCCAAACCGATTAAGTATGATAAAATATATATATATAATACTTATATCACCTATGGTATAATGGTTAAATAGTTAGTTTTAAACCCTAAACCTAGGTTTGAATCTTGATAGCATAATCTATTTGTGATTTTATATTTTTATATTAATTATTTTATATTATTGCACTCATTATAGATATACATCTATTTTTTAAATTATAAACATAAAATTATAAATATTTTTTTTCTATTTCTAAATTACTTTTAATTTAAAAGTGATAAAAATTGATGGTTCAAATTAGAACCATAACTGCCTGAATCAGAGGTTCTGATTCTGATTCCAAAATTGACCCTAGGCTAACCAAAATCGATGATTTTGGAACCATAGTCAAAGCTATATGTATGTATATATATATATATGTATGTATATATATATATATGTATGTATAT